CTGGACGTGAGAGAGAGAAAAAAAATCACAGGACAGGTTAATAACTTTTGAAGGCTGGCTCTATTTATTATCAAAACAAAAATAAATGACAGCTAGATTAGATGGATGAGGGGCCGGGCGAGGGTGATCCTCGCTCAGATGCGGGACAACAGGTCATCAAACTGGGCGCGTGACAGGCGGAAGTACCGCTGACAGCGGCCGTCATCCAGCGCAGCTCCTGGAGCGAGCAAATGGTGAAACTCGCCAAACGGTTCGGCTCCGAAGGGTCCGGTGGACACAAATATACGGCGACGATGATCCCCACGCCGCTGTTCTGCTATCCAGAGTAAATACAGAGCGGTAACTCTCTTGATGAATGCTCGGTCGACATAAAAACAATGACTGCCAACGGATTTTGATTCTGACGCGCGTCACGCGCGTAAATTTCGCTTCAAACGCGCCCCAGTTTCGCTCTCTCTTTGAGTGACAGTTTATCTATCCAGTTGCAATAGAGAATGAAATGACGCTATTTTCTGATAGCCAATGAATTTCTGAAAAGACTGAAATGCAGCTTTTGTGGAATCATCCGATTACATTAGAAACCGTGCGCAAAAGCGAGAGTGATTCTCTGCGCGCGTGTGCTTAAACACAACAATCATCACGTGACAGGCTGCGCCGCTAAACTGGATATCGCTCATATTTTTTTCTCCCCTCCGATCTCCGATCTAGCGTTCTGGGCCGGTATCGGCGCGATACCGATGCCGTGGATCGGATCGGGACATCCCTAGTACAAAGAGATGTTATGTGGAATGTATAAGCTGCACAAATTTTGGGTACATTTTGCAGATACGAAATATTCTTATATGCAAACAATGTTGCATTTTACCATAAAATGATGAAACATGGCTATTTTTACTGAAGCAAGACATGTGATAATGGCACTTTTAGGTTGACATTATCCACAATTCGACTTTATGGCCATGCGTAGGTTGCCGCGAGGGAAGCTTTGAAGGTATGGCGTATTCATGAAAGAAAGGGATTGTGAATCAACCTCATCACAGTGAGCCGAAGGAATGTTTGAATAACTGTATCGTCACAGCCTTGAATGGTGGAGTGCGCCTGCCCTTTCAAGATATCTGTAGAAGTGAGCGTCTGAGGAATACATGAATGCCTAGCAGAGACACTGATTCTGCGGTGGATGTGGTAATCAGAATGCATGCATAATTCAGGCAGTTATATGAGAGTCGGTGAACTTGGAGAAAAAGAACGTGGGCGATGATGAACGCTAATTTAGTGCTTTCCGAGAGCACCATTCAAAAAGCATCAAGATGAAGCCAAGAAACTTTTTTCCACTTAATTATATGGGTTATTCTTTTTCATGATATGCAGCAATTTGACACAAAAAGCCTAAAGAAGGTGTTCTGGCATGACAGGTATCCAAACTAAAGCTGTATTGTATATGGATGACTATAGGAAAACCAAGGAGTCTAGATCTGGCTGGTTAGGTGCCTTATTTTGCCACAGTGTTATGGTTAACTAAAAGCAAAAAAAATATTCTAAATTATTTTTGGAAAATGAAATAAAGCATGATGAAAAACTCACTTACAAAAATGTAAACAAAAAATAAAAATAAATATTAATATTGGCTTGGCCATTAACTGAAATAAATAAATTCTAAAATTACTAAAAAAAAATAAAATAAAGCTAATTAGAAAAAAATAACTAATAAAAATTACAAAAGTGCATAAAATACCAGTGAAAAGCTATTTTTTTTAAAGACTTCTCCTTGTGAGAAGTCTAAGGCTTCATTTATTTAATCAAAAATACAGTAAAACTAGTAATATTGTGAAATATTATTACAATTTAAAAGATGTCTTGGCCATTAACTGAAATAAATAAATTCTAAAATTACTAAAAAAAAAATAAAGCTAATTAGAAAAAAATAACTAATAAAAATTACAAAAGTGCATAAAATACCAGTGAAAAGTTATTTTTTTAAAGACTTCTCCCTGTGAGAAGTCTAAGGCTTCATTTACTTAATCAAAAATACAGTAAAACCAGTAATATCGTGAAATATTATTACAATTTAAAAGATGACTTGGCCATTAACTGAAATAAATAAATTCTAAAATTACTAAAACTACAACAAAAATAAATGAAAGCTAATTAGAAATAACAACTAATAAAAATGACAAAAGTTCATACAATACCAGTGAAAAGTTTCATTTTTTAAAGACTTTTAATTAATTTATTTATTCAAAAATACAGTAAAAATAGTAATATTGTGAAATATTATTACAATTTAAAAGAAACTGTGTTCTATTTTAATCCATTTTAGAATATAATTTATTCCTTTGAATAAAGCTGAATTTATCAACATTACTCCAGTCTTCAGTGTCACATGATCCTTGATCCAAAACAATTATTAAAGCTTAAACTAAAATAAATGAAACCTGCAAATATAAAAACAAAAGCTAAAAGACAAGAAAATATTAATAAATACTATAATAGTATAAATAATGCTAAAATAACAAGTTTGTACGGCTCTTTTCAGGTATAGACCTCCTTAGGTAAAAAACATTGACATCTCTTTCTTAAAAAAATATTGCAAATGTCAAGAAAACTGGTCTTTTTTTGTTGTTTTTTGCAGAAAACTTACTTTGAAGGCGTCATGTTTGCCCGAGCAACTCTTTCAGCTGGAAACATTCTTCTAGTATCATGTTCAGATTATTGAAGTGAAAATATTCGCCCCTCAATTTTTGGACTGCAGATTCCACGTCCCACCCCGCGCCATTCCTTTACATAAATGTTTTCATGATCTCGCATTACAAAAGGGAAGATTTCAGGCTGTTTCCAGGAAAAGGGAGTATGCCAGACATCCAAAATTGCAAATAGAGGGAAAACATGCCACAGCTGAGACGTCCATAGGGTTTGGCTATCCACTTTGTTTATAAATATCCCCCTGAACTTTGGGGAAAAAAATAGATCCAATCTATAAAGCCATTATAATGTGAGGAGAAAAAGCCCAGAAATACATGCAGAACTGCTCAGAGGTGAATATGATGGCTGTTTATTTGATATTTTTATAGCATGTGATTTCACTTTACTGAAAAATGTGTGCTCATGCATGTCAAGTGGGAACGGACCCATTAAACAGGCAGTATAGGGGAACGCAATCAGCACTCTCTATACAAGAAGAGAGCGTTTCTCTTTCCTGGGAGTATTATTGGTTTAGAGCACTTTGCAATCACAATTTCTCAGAAAATGTGACACTAAGGTGCAGTTATACGCAGCAAGCATTTGATTAAGCAACAGAGCAAGTGTTTCACCTTTCTTGTGGCTTAAAGAAAGAGGATAAACATTCACTATGGTTGTAATTCCGCACAACTCATTGGGCGTGTTGTCTTTTAGTTACTGTGGACAGAAGGTGTCCTAGGGGGTCATTTACGGAGCAGGGGTTCATCTGACGTCAAAGCATCCCAGGCAACATTACTGCCACCTGGGCCCTTGATAATAATGCCCCAGACAAATCCACTAACTCTTATGTTGCCCAGCGCAGGGCTGCAAAAACGTCACCGAAGGCTGACAGTGCCGTCCGTGGGGACTCGCTGATGACGCTCGACGAGATCTGATTTCGATTGTCTAAGATTAGACTTCGTCCTCGCAGGGAATGAGCGAGTCTCTGTTGTATCACACTCCCAGCTTGGGTGCTGCTTTTAGCGGGAGAGCACAACAAAGAATATAAAGCGCTACAAAAGTTACACGCCAATGACCACATAAAAAAAAATATATAATAATAATAATAATAATAATACTTTTATTAAGCAAGGACTCTAAGGAAATTATAATGTTACAAGACTTCAAAGAAGAATTCAAGGAATCCTGAGGGGAAAAAAGCATCACAGTTTCCAGTGAAATATTAAATATTAAAATATTAACTTTTGCTGATACTCACCAAATGACTCGAAAAAAGATTTGTTCATTTTGATAAACGAGTTCGAACAGGAGAGTCACGAACGCGCATCACAGAACAGAGCAAGGCGAACATTTGAGCTAATAAAACTTAAACTTTGTTATATATATATATATATATATATATATATATATATTTTTTAGCGTTTTTCTTGAGACCTTTATTCATCATCTGGAATCGTTTAAAGCCCTTTGAACAGTTTGCAGTTTGTACTGAAACTGTCTTTTGGACCTTGAACCGTTTGGTTCCCAGTGAAGTCCATTATATGGAGAATGTTTTCATCAAAAACCTTAATTTCTTTTCGACTGAAGAAAGAAAGACATGGACATCTTGGATGACATGGGGGGTGAGTAAATTATCAGCATAAGTGTTTTTAAAAGTGAACTACTCCTTTAACTGTTTGACACTGATAACAATAAGAAATGTTTCTTGAGCACCAAATTATCATATTAGAATGATTTCTGAAGGGTCATGTGTCTGAAGACTGGAGAAATGAAGCTGAAAATTCACAGAAATAAAATACATTTTAAGTATGTTAAAATAAAAAACAGTTAATTTAAATTGTAAAATAAATAAATATTGAACAATATTTTTGTTGTTACTGTATTTTCGATCGACACTTTGTAGAATCTGCTCTGGCTGTGTGCGTTCATGTGTTTTGAAGGATGTGTGGCTTTGGAGACGCTCTGAAGGAAGGGTGGGATCTCATGCTTTCAAAGCTAACTTGCTATTGCTAGCCTCTCTGAAATTACCTACCCAACCTTTAAGTAGTATTTCTCACCCAGAAGAGTGGAACAAACAATTAAAGATTCAGATCATCAGCTCGTTAGAAATAAGCTCTGTGAGAAAGAGGACCAAGGCTGTGAACCTCTGCTATGCAATGAGAGAATTTAAAAACTGTTTTTATGCCATTTGAGCTATTTTGTCAACTACCGCCAACTTAGACACCAAGACCAACCACTCTCTCTCCAAACAGTCAAAAACTTTAAACTCGCACTTGCAAGCATCAGCAAATCCCAAGCATTCAAAAAGAGCAGGAAGACAATACCTGTAAATTCCATCGGATAAGTAACAGTGACCTGCCATCAGATTCCAGTTTGCTGTTTCCAGAGTTTAGTGCTGTCAAACAGGTGGGATTTCCCAGGACGCCTATTTCAGTGATAGCTGTCAGGCGGTAGAGACATTTTATGCCATAAAAAAACCCATCACTTACAGCACCTTTAGCTTGAAGCCTGAAAACACAACGCATGTGGTGTGTGGCACTGAGAAAGAAAGAAAAAACAGCAAGACATGGCACAGCATTCAAAGATGTCTATCCAACACATAAGCACAACAATTAAAAAATAGCACAAAAGTAAACGACAGAATCAAACAAATACATTGGTCACTTTCTATTCTCACATATAGACCTTATGCACCAGAGAAACGTGGGCGCCGGCATCTTTAGAATATTGTCTTGGAACTTCCGGTTTTGCGGTCGCTCTGTATATGGCATCGCTGTCGAGGAGTAATTAGCTGGTGAAGTGGATTTACTTATTGTAGAAGAGTTAGCAAAAGTTATCATGGGCATTGTAATGTTTATCATAAGCATTGTAAAGCAGATGTCTAAACAAATGTCGACGGGGAATTTTTTTTACGAGCAGTTCATTCACATGCAAGATCGCTGTGAAAATACAGACCGGAAGTCAAACGAGCGCAAACCTGAAAAGGGGCGGGGCTACATAAGGTGTATACAGACAACTGAAATGCAAGTAGGCTATATGCTATTAATTTTGTGACGTCTTTTGACCATACGTCATTATCCGCCTTTTAAGGGTACCCTTAAACGTTGGTTAGATCAGTGGTTCTCAAACTTTTTCAGGAGGAGGCCCCCTTGTGTAGGGTGAATCCTTTTGTGGCCCCCCAAAAGAAAACTCATAACGAAAACATCCTCAAACGTACAATTTTACTTACAAATTTTAGATTGTACCAAAAACAAATGAATTTGTACAATGCTGGAACAACAGTTCTGTTTGTAGCTTTATGTCTTTGAATATACAAAATTAGTTAAATTGTACATTTCATTAAATATAACAATTTTTTTATAAAAAATGGTTTTGACAGTTAACAGTAATATTGTCTGAAAAGTGCAACAAAAGTATTGAATACTGAACATTTGTGATGTTCATAGTAAAAGATGAACACTCAAAAATAAATTTGCTGATTGTAAAAAAGTGCATTAAACTTCTTACATTTTAAGGTAGTAAATGACAGTGGCTCAAGTTTGGTTTGCAAATTTGAACAGCAATCTGTTTTTTCAGCAAGAAACAAAAAAAAATTCTAGAAATACTTTTTCAATATAGAAGACATACAATTTTATACAGTACAAGTTTTACAATATAAAAGAAATCATGCAATGCAGATTTCACATAGGACAATCCAAACTTACATACAGGTAAAATAATTTTTTTTAAATAATTTCATATTCTAGAATTTCTTTGCGGCCCCCCTAGCGCCGTCTAACGGCCCCCAGTTTGAGAACCGCTGGGTTAGATGACGTTATCGGATCCTAACTCTACCCCAGACCCAAACCTACCCCGTCACCTGACGTTAAGGCGTCAGTTGTATGACGTCCCAGGATCGTCATATTACCGACGTTTAAGGGTACCCTAAAAAGGCGGACATTGACGTATGGTCAAAAGACGTCCCAAGACGTCAGTTATATAACTTCTTGGGATGAGACTGTGTTAGTTCATCTAAAAAAAGAAGAACCTTAGGGTCTGTTTTTCACCAACAACAACAACAACAACAACAACAACAACAAAAAAGCGTAAAATGTTTTTTTTTTTTTTTTTTAATCGTTAGTTTTTGCAGATCAGTGTGAACGGGATTATTTTATTTACATGGAAAACATTCTTCGTAAAGAAACACACACCTATAGTGTAATACACATGCTGTCAATGTTTCCCAAATTCGTTCAGGTTTTAAAAACAATTTTCAAAAATTTGCATTGCCATGTAAACGGCCAAAATGTTTTTAGTTGAAAGCGGTGTCATCTAATCGGCCCCTAAGTGGAATGCAGTGGCATGCATGTTTAATGGGTTGCTTGGGTGATTAGGAGCTCACTTACATCAAATCATCCACCTGTGATTAATTGATGTGATCTTTCCTTCCAAAAGAAGTTGCTCTGGAGACCAATCACGACCTCCTAGCCGGGGAGTTAAAAGCACACTTCAGAATATGCAAAATGCCAGTCATTTTAACAAGACTAATAAAAGCAAGGAGTCAAGGACAAATTAGGGTCCTGTGATGCCACGGGGGTCTTTGGAGGCCCTTTCTTGTCACATTTGTGATTTATCATATCTAAAGGCCTGTTTGCACTGATAGGAATTAAATCACTGGAGGTTCATACTTTTCTGTCACGGTTTTCACCGCTTTCATCTGGTGAATCCCCTGTATTTAACATAAGCTGCCATCCTTTTGTGATTTGAATTTTGAGTTCCTGACTAAAGTAGCCTATATGTCAATTTATTATCATTACTTTTTCTATTAAGTGATTAAGAACATGTATACACAAACACAAACATATAAATCATTTGTGTATTAATAGTAATGTATAATATTATTACCTTTTCTCTCCAAACATGATTCTCAGATAATGGATAAAGTTTGTGAAGTGAGAGTTTGTGTTACATCGCCACCTAGTGGACAACAGATACTAGCGTCCATGTAAAATGTTTATCATGAGCATAAAGCATTAGAGAGAGGAAGAGAAGATGAACAGAGATCTACTATTGAAAAGTACACAAAGTTATTTTGAAACCCGGATAAAACGACCCACAAACGTCTGTCACAGACCTATGATACGGCATTTCATGTTCCTTTAGTTCAGTTACTTCAGAACTCACAACTTGCCTTGATCGGTCAGCCTGTGCTTTATTTTTAGCCTGGCACTAATTTCTGAGAACAAATTAGAAAAAAAAAATCTTGATATTAGACAATTGACTGCCTTGGTTAGTATATATATATAAAGTAATGATGCTAATGGCTATATTAGAATTTCATGCTAAAAGAAATGCATAGAGATACATAATCTAGTTGATAATTCAGAGATCTAGAGAAGATTATTTGATTTATTAGCAAGTTCAAATGTCAAACAAACATTTAGTTTGGGGTCCAAATGACAGCTGGAAAGTTTTTATTGCTGTTTCACAAGAACATGCACAATATTATGCAACAGGGCAACATTCAACAGTTCCTAGTTATCTTGTATTTATCTACAGTCCGTATCAAAGGTTGCAATAAGGACCGTGATATGCTAGCTTTTGGCTTATATTTGTAATTACGTAACAAATTTAAATACTAAATAATAAATAGTAAGCTATCACTATCAAAGTCCATGTAACTACTACTACATAAATGCTGTATATGAGAAAAGATAATAATTGACAATTTGTAAATATATTGAGCTCTAATAAATGATAAAAAATGATTCATGTTTGCAATAAAAATATAAAGAGTCACGGTATAGCATATGATATAAATATGCAGTGACATGGATATAATGCCTTGACCACAGATCAACAAATAACATGAAAACGAGATACTACCTCGATCGATCCACTGGTGTCGCTGTTGGACCGTCTAAAATGAATGTGTCACATACTCATATTTTGTAAAATGAGTTTTGTTTGCATCATTGCAATCATTTTTCGCATCCAATTTTCTTTAGACCCTGCCTACTTTGAGAAAAACAACTCTGCATGCTGTAGGAATATGGCCCACGTAACTGAATATAACAACAAAAATACTATAACGTTAAACACACACTTAAAATTTTTAAGTTGATTATTGAACATATAAATTAGTCATGAAAAAACAGTAGGCTAATATTCACGTGTTTAAGCTGCATACATTCTTAACATTAGGCTATGTGCAAATTGATTGTAGGCCTAACGTTACGTAAATGGCCTGAAATTAACACCAGACCACCTGCCAAATGCGGGTGAATTTTGCGCCACATTGGCAGGAGTGATTCTATTTTACATTTCAACGAAGTCCGCCATTGCGTTGGATTTTAGCTAAAATGTGGACTTTAGCTAAAACGCTGTAACTAAAAGCTGTTAAGACCTGTCTACGTGATTGTGGCGGATGTGGGTCAGGTCAGTTTGAGTTTTTATTTAATGGAATTTGTTTACAGTAAAGAATACACAACAACATTATTTTGGTTTAATAAACTTTATTTAAACTTTCGTTTGGAGTCAAGTGTGCACACTATTTAACGTTTAGTTTAAGTTTATTCTTACCGTTCTTTTTGTTTGTTTGTTTGTTTGATACGTCTGAGTCCCGTGAGCTGGTGCACCATCAAAAGGGGTTCGAGTGGAAACATTGGACGTATATATATGGTGCCGGCCGATGATCGGGCAACAAATCCTGAGGTTTGAGGAGCTCAGTGTAGAAGCTGGAGGAGCTGAACACGCAGCGTCAGCTGATACACGAGCTCTGATACTATGGGATGTTTTTTTTTTTTTTTTTTTTTTTTTTTTTTTTTTTTTTCCTCCTCCTTCTTAATCAGATCCATTAATCATGTGCGTAAGGTATACAGTAGGTGGCGGTAATACTCCAAAGGAGTGAACGGCCATGAAACAAAAAGAAGAAGAAGAAGAAGAAGAAGATCGGGCCACAACCATTCCGGTTTCTTCTTCGGGGGAACTCCAAGGACTATTTTGCTTGCTTTTCTTTTGTTTGTTTATTGACCTCTGTAAATATTTGAGAGGCAAATGCAGTGACCCATCGTTATTGTATGTTTTTTTTTATTAGTTGATTTTGATATGTTTGGTTTACCACCATTGGGTTAGCATTGGCTTTACTTTTGTAACCACTTCCTGTGGAAATAAACCCCTAAACATTTGCAGTAGCCCGCTGCCTCCATGTTCTTTTATCCTTTACTGGTCACATCTATCACAGTGACTAAATCAGCCATCAACACAGCCGCGTGTGATTTGTTTACATACGAGCTGCGCTAAGTCTATCTGTTGAGTATCTATATAGCATATACTCATCAAATAAACCAGCCAGGGAATACATTGAAACTTCATTGTTGTCCTCATACTCACCATCACAACCCATTTGCCTTTTGCATGTATGTCTGTAAAGTGTTCATTGTTCATACAGAGACATTTTTGTAGTATTTTTTTTATTATGTATTATCTCAGGATATAGTGAACAGCAAAATGTGCATATATCACTGACGTTTCCAACACAGAGTTAATGTGGTTTTAAAAGATTGTTCTGTCTATATCTGTCTATATGTGGTATTTGAAAAGAAAAAATTCCAGAAAATCAGACCTCCCTCTAAACACAGTCTCTGTACATGGGTATTATTTTGATAAATGTAACTAGTTAAATCAGTGAACTTTGTCTTGTGTTGATCATATCAGTCTGCAATTATGCTGCACTATCTGACTAAGCAAAGATATCAAATCTGTTTGCTTTCTTCTTTTGATTATACTATACAAGTTATCTTGGTGTTTGTTTGTGTGTGTGTATTTGCAAGGCTTTCATAAAACTCTCCACAGGGATCACTAGAAAGTATGCATATCAGTAGACAGGGTAATAATTGAAAATGAACGATTGTTGTTGAGATAAAGAGCAAGTGTGTGAGTTTACTTTAAGTTATTGCAGTATAAATCTTTATTATCTATATACACAGTGATCATCTTTTGTTCTGGCAGCCAGTTAAACAAATTCATGTTGAAGATTTTGTGCATCTGCTTGTCATGTAAAATTACATCACACTGTGAAGGAAACAGTCCATTATGCAAAGAATAATTTCTTATTTTATTCAGGTTTATGAATTACATATTTTTTTTACATAATTATCTTTACAATATATATATATAAGATAATTGGCACAGGAGATATTATGTTCAGAACTTATCTTCTTTTGCAAGGTCAATGTGTTCCTTTACTGGACGTTTTTGTTTCTTGGTTGCCTTGACAAGTCCGAAAACCAAGAGGACAACAGCGACTGTAGCAATAATGGTGAGACTGAAGAGGACATTGAGAGCCCGTTCAGCATCAGGACCTGACACTTCCAAACCCAAGAAACTGACTGACAGTTCCCCACCAGGAGGAGTAGTCTCTGTAAACAAGAAAATACTCGGTTAATAGATAGAGACAGACAAGGATCAACATTCCTTTCCCAAAATGTAGTCCCCACCCAATCCATACCCCTAAACCTAACCCTACCCATAACTTTCCCCTAAAATCAGAGAGTAATGAAAGGTGTACTTCACCCTGGTTCTAAGCCTAAACTTGACATAAACTGTAAACTTGTGATTGGTTGATTGGAAAGTCAATCCAATCACATGATCCAGGAACATGTGGTACTTGGTGAAATCAGCAGACAGACAGATGGACAGTACCTGGGACCTCACCTTTAGGTTCATGGACCTGACATTCATGGGGCCTTTCTCCTGGACTTATGAAGCCATTGCAGTTGATTATTGTAGCATAGTTCCAGACAGATTTCTTAGGAATACGTGGTAAAGTGGGATCTGATCGATTTACATAGAAAAACCCAAATTTATCATCATAACCCGTCGCCCATTCTAGATTGTCCATTAGTGTCCAAGCAGAGTAGCCACGGATGTCCACAGCATCCAGCAAATACGCTTAAAAATGAAATAAAAACAAAAAATAATATTAAAAATGCATGGAATTACATCACAAAAATTTATTTGTTTCTGTGTAAACCTCTACCTTTCAGGGCCTGATTGATATAGTTATCATAATAGTGGATACGGAGGACGTCATTCAGATTCACTAGCTCTCGTTCCGATACGCCATTCTCTGTAATGTAAATAGTAGGGTTTCCATATTCCTCCTTAATGAAATTCAAAATTTTTCGAAAGCCCACAGGAGTTACTTTCAACCAGAAGGATCCAGAATCCAGCCATGTGCGATCCGTTTCAGTTCCTGCACCCCTGGATTAGATATCATATTCCAGATGAGATGTATGTTTTTATTTCATTGCACAATGTAACTATATTATCTCTCAACTTGTTGGATATACAATTATGTCCAACTTTATTTGCATACTTACAGTGTAATCACGTTAGACCAGTGTTTCCCAACCCTGTTCCTGGCGGCACACCAACACTGCACGTATTCTTTGTCTCCCTAATCAAACACACCTGATTCAACTCATCAGCTCATTAACCCATCTGATTATGAGCTGATGAGTTGAATCAGGTGTGTTTGATAAGGGAGACAAAGGCCGTTTCTCAAAACCAAGAATGCAAAGAATGGACTTGTGTTCTTGGGAAGAAAGCTCTTGCTAGTTGTTCTTGGAAGAACGAACTCACGAGGTGAGGAGCACACAGAACGCTGCTGACAGTTTGAGACGATGTGTTCTTGCTGGTAATGCGCAATAGTAACGTTACACCCGCACAGACGCCGTCTGCAGTGCCCAAACATAACGAGAATTATTATACAGCCAGGCTTTATCGCCCAAGCCTAAGGGATTACTCTACATACACTACAATGTAATGTATATTCATAACAATAAAGCAACACCTGTCTCATTTTAATTCTGCATCTGTTGTTTGTTTGTGTACATCACTAACGGCGCGAAAAAATTTAAAACGTCGGTAATATTCGGTAATACTTTTGACCTGCCTCTCTCTGCTTCCCGCTCCTTCCGCGAATGCCGAAATGTTCACACAAGTTACCAACCGATGCATCCTCGGTAAAATGGGAGTGTCAAGAACACATCCGGGATTTTTAACCATTCTTGCCTAAATGCAAACTTGTGTATTGGGAGAGTACTTAGGCCACGACTGATGACGTTTTACAAGTCCACAAGAACACAAGTACAGACAAGAAGGCATATTGAGAAACGGCCAAAGAACACGCGCAGTGTTGGTGTGCCGCCAGGAACAGGGTTGGGAAACACTGCGTTAGATGATATTTAATATATAGCAGTGGATCTCAACCATTTGACTTCAAAGCCCCCCACAATTTCAACCCGATTAAATATTTTAAAGCTTGGGATAACAAGAGAGATTATAAAAATAACCAAATAAGAAGTACAATTAAGTATCACCTTATTTTAAATAATTTTTAGTCATCTTGAGGGCCCCTAGTGGGTGATTTCTTGTAATTTTACAAAATTTAAACTATATTAACACCCAGCTCTGCTTTGCTAAATGTGACAATAAGGCATGAAGATTTTAAAGGGATACTCCACTTTTTTTTGGAAATAGGCTCATTTTACCACTCCCCCAGAGTCAAACAGTTGAGTTTTACCGTTTTCTAATGTATTCAGCCAATTTTCTGATATTTAGAAGAATATTAGTTAACAGACAGTCTCTGGTCTCATTGACTTCCATAGTAGCCTATATATTTTTTCCTACTATGGAAGTCAATGAGACCAGAAACTGTCTGGTTACTGATATTCTTGTAAATATCAGAAAATCGGCTGAATACATTCGAAAACGGTAAAACTCATCTGTTTAACATGGGGGAGTTGTAAAATGAGCCTATTTCCAAAAAAAGTGGAGTATCCCTTTAAGATATTATAAACATTAACATCATGATTTTCTATAAAGCTGCTTTGATTGATTGTTTTAAACAAATTGTGCCTGAAAGAGTTTGACAATGTGGATTAAAACTAAAATCTACCTGTCTGCATCATAGTGCTGGAGGTTTTTGTAGTCCATGTTATAGGCTAAGACAGTGGTGTAGTGGTTGAATCCGAAATAATCATGAGTTCCCTTAATCCTCGCCACTTCCGCAGGGGTAAATTCTGGAAGCCTGTTAGATGCGAAATGCAAGTGAAAAAGCATTATAAACGCAGAATCTTTTGAATGTAAAGCTTCAGATTACTCACAAACAAGATCGCATCTTACCTCGACTGAGGTCGGCCAGCTGCTAAACTTCTCTCTCGAATTATATCTTTCATTAAATCACTGTAATCGCCATTGAACACTGGATGAGCAAACCAACCAATCTGGAACTGTTACGAGAAGAGAAGTGGCTTGTTGTTTATTCAATGCACATAACTACAGACATGTTTATGTGGTTGAACTACAAATCTGTACCTGTACTACACGCACGGCAGCATCCACATCTTCCTGTTTGTATGGGTTTCTTGGTTCAGCCCAGTCAGAGTTTATGGTGATGCCAATAATGCCACCATGTTTTGCACGATACTTGTCATTATACAGATGCCAGGCCTCAGCATGAGCCTTGATGAGGTTGTGTGCCACAATATATGGTGCAGTGCCCGGTCTGAAACTTATACCTGGGCACAAATAGATCATCAAGAACCTTATGTTGCATTATTAACTGTTAACACTGAAACTTATAAGATGAGTCATATTGTACAAAGAGTCAAATTGTAGTTCTTAA